GCGGTTACAAGTCAATTTAATAGTTTTTTCAGCAGACCACGTGGTCTCACTATACTCGATGCCCTTAGTGTGACTGTACATCAATGTTTCCAAAGGCTTCGGTCTTTCAGCCAAAGTTTTTGAAGTATGTATTGTACGGTAGACATATTTTTTGCAACCAAACAAAGTTTTAACGACATATTTTTAATATTACGAACTAATTTGTTACGGAAATCAAAGAAATTTAAGACGCATAAAGGTTGATAAAAAGGAAGGCTATATTAATAAAGTGGTTGGCAGAGTATTACACTGCTAAAAATAATCAGCTGATTTGTCCGCTGATGAATCAGCTGATTTCTGATGCCAAATCGTCAGCTGATTTATTGACTGTGCGAAAAAATACAAGTACCATCAGTGCAAAAAAATTCAAGTCCCGAGGAAAAATTTTTTTTTTTGGCCATCATCAAAACTTGGGACTTTTACAGTAGAATGAGACAGGTGACGATTGTGACTTTAAAAAAATCTTTCGATAGCTAAAATTACAAGTTCCGTGCACTGTAAAAGTAAAAGTCCCGACAGTGTGACAAAATGCAAGTTCCGACGGAAATTTCTTTTCTTTCTGGAACATTCACAGTAAAATGAGATGGGTAAGAATTAAGAGGTTTAAAAAATTTTTACCTTTCACATTCTATTGTAAATGTTCAAAAATACAGACTTTTGATGTTCCTAAATGTATTCTCTTTTTTTTTGGAACTTGTATTTCTTGGCACTGAAGAGACTTAAACTTTTTTCAGAACATGAAACTTGTAATTTTTGCTATCGAAAATTTTCCAAACCTCTCAATTTTCACCTATTTTATTTGACTGTAAATGCCTCAAAATTCATTGTTTGGATGGACAAAAAAAAATGTTTCCGTCGTGACTTTAATTTTGTCACACTGATGGGACTTAAGGTAGGTGTATCCCACGATATTGTCAAAGCAGCAGATTCTATACTTTGACATGTCATCTATCCCTCTCACTCTTGTGCGAAAACATAATCTTTAGCAGCTTTTTCTGCACTGATTAATTGATCTCTCATCTCACAGACACCCTCGAGATGATTCATAAAATTAAACAGGATTATTAGCCATTTTCGAAATACACAAAAAAAATATCGTCAAAAGTTTACCATTATTTTGTGGGATATACACAATTAAGGCCCAGAAAAATATATTTCTCCGTAAGGATCCATGTTAAAGTATGAAAACAGTGAATATCAAAGTTTTTTTTTCTAGGAACCCTAGCCTTACACAAATTTAACCGAGTTCTTAATAGATAATAATTTAGCTGCGTAGAAAGTTTCATGAAGATCTCACCATTATTTTTGTTACTACCTTAAACTTCTTTCAGCCCACGAAACTTGTAATTTTTGCCATCAAAAACTTTTCAAACCTCTTAATTCTCACCTCTCTTATTATGCTGTAAATATCTCAGAAAGGATAGTTTCGATAATGGTGATAAAAAAATTTTTCCGTCTACACTTGCATTTTTCGCACTGATAGGACTTATATTTTTTCAATGACCAAACTTGTAATTTTTACTACTGAAAATTTTCCAAATCTTTTAATTATCTCTCTCATTTTACTGTGAATATCCCAAAACGTATTGTTTGTATGATGGAAAAAGAAGAATTTTTTTCGTCGGAACTTGTATTTCCTCGCACTGACGAGACTTATAAATATTTAGAAAAATTTTCAATACTTTTTTAGAGCACGGAACTTGTAATTTTGGCTACCAAAAAATTTTTAATACTGTTTCAGTGCACAGAACTTGTAATTTTGGCTATCGAAAAGTTTTCAAAACTCACAAGTGTCACCTATCTCATTCTACTGTATAAGTCCCATAATGCAGAGTTTTAACGATGGTAAAAAAAAATTTTCCCTCGGGTCTTATATTTTTTCACACTGATGGGACTTTTAGTTTTTCGCCCAGTCAAAAAATCAGCTGACGATTTGGCATCAGAAATCAGCTGATTAATTAGCTGAAAAATCAGGTGATTTATTTTAGCAGTGGATGTTTAAAAATTTACTATTTTTATTGTTTAATATGCTTACATTACAATAATACTATCACAAAATTATCGTTTATTTTGAACACAGTATTTATTTAACTACATACTACGAAATGAAATTAATATTGATATCATCCATTTAAACTTAGTCGCCCGATTCTCTAAGGCCGCGATAACATACAGAGTGTATAAGCTTATAAAACTGAGAGGGAGCTTAAATACGCGACTGAAATACGCATACGTATGATTTATAGGTCTGCGACTCCAGGTATGACACAACAAGTTTACGAACAACTTGTGAATCTACTCATGATAGTTTTAGCTTTCGACTCTCTGCTGTGCGTACATACATGTATAATCTACAAAACAATCGATCAATAGCTAACGTTGAAGGATTTTATTTCTTTAAAGGTAAGTCAAGATACATTACTTACTGCTTCAATTAATAAATTAAGCTTTTATTTGTGTATATCACTCTGAATATGTAATACGTTCCTTCAAGATCATGATGTTTGTATACACATCTAATTCAGTACCCACTAAAGATTTTTGAGGCATCGTCAAAGGTTCGCAGTGATTGCATGATATTCGAGTAAGACGTTGCGTACAGTGACCTTGAAAATGGAGACTGATTAAAGAATACAATAAGTGATACGCAGATAGTATCTTCTTTCTCAAGTTTAAACGTACTTGCTGCAAGTTACCATAATCTTGCCTACAAATGATTTCTTATTGATTTTTGTACTAGTTTCAAGTTTTTTTTTATTTTGTATGCCAGCCTTTTTAACAACAAAATATTAAATTAACTTTGTTTACAGCAGTCTTACACACAATTATCATACTCATAATTTGTGTTTACACTTTTCAAATAAATAATTATGAAAACAAGGAATATCGTTTTTTCATTGAATAAGTAAGATTTTTAAGAGTAATTATCACCATGCATTGTCACAGGCTGCATGCATGATGAAGATGAACGAGGTAAAATGCTTAAATTTAATCAGGCGAGAATTACCCAGATACCCTTGGCAACACCTTCAATAAACTGATACGCGAGTCTCGTCTGTCGAGACACCACTGGTGCCAAATATCGTGGCAACCAGTTTCGTCGTCGCTTCTTACGTTTATCTTAAACACGGCACAATCCGGGAAATAGGGCTCACCAAAAAAAGAACAGACGCTAGTATTATGTCACAATAATACGATTTAATAAGGGACAAAACAATATAAAAAGTACTCGAAGGTGTGCGTGTGTGTGTGTTTGTAAGTGTTGTAAATTTGTCAAGCATGATTACTCTATGAGCTTGTGGCACAGAAATAGAATAGATACTAGATACAGAATCGTGACAAGGGCAGACGCACGCAAGCTAATCGAGGGCCGTTGCCCTTTATAACAGAATGGTCACCTGGGGACCAGTACTTACTGTCACTGGAGGTGCAGACTCTCGAGGCCTCAAAGAAGCTGTGGAGTATACATGCTAAAGCTAGTAGGTGTTTCAACTGGCAGCGTTTGAAAGCCGAGGTCGTCGGTGTTGGCCTTGGCTTGACCTCCTGGTCGTTGGCTTCTCTGCCTCTCATGAAGCTCACGCTCTTTTGGTTCGTGCGGAGACAAGGTTTTTCTATTCCTGGAACAATAGCTCTCACTCTAGGGCACTACAAAGTTTGAAACCGAATACAAACACGAGAATGCCAAACAAAAGACGAAAACTGTTTCTCTAATATGAAACTGTGCTTTACCATGTTATGTACATAACATTCACACGCTTACACTTTTCATTTACTTTTGAACATAGTATTATTTTGCTGCACTACCTTGTTACAGTTCGGCTAATTCCAAGATTTTTTTCTGTTTGATTTTGAAACGCTTATACATCGCTAACTTACAACGATTTGCGAGATATCGAAAGATCCCGATCAGACGTCAAGAGTGGCCTGATATCGTAGTTGGTTTGCTTACTCTATTTGCTCTCTCTCTATTGATGCTATGCCGTTAGTGCTGAGCTTTAAGTGCCAACTTATAAATACTCTGGCTATCGTACGTTACACTATCATTACTGTTTAACATTGACCTCAATTTAGGTTATATTTAATTCACAGAAATATTATGTGCCAAGACCTTAAGGGTGCTACTAACGTTTTAATAATAAAGAAGTTGCAGTGATGTTGTGCAATGCTTCGAGAATAAATAAATAAAATAAATGATCGCAAAATATAACTATTACACATTCAAAAAATAGCAATGATAACACAAGATGTTTTTGTAAAGTTCAAAGTAAATCTGAATTTAAAAAATAGTTGCATACTTATCTTGGAACGATACTGTGTAGTAATCATACAACTCTATATATATTGCTGCAGTATTAAGAAAAAAAGCTTTGAAGTACCATATTGTAGCAAAGTTCCATGTATAGTAAAAAATAAAGAGTGAAGAAAAATGTCACGGCAACATTAGGATAATACTATTATATAAACTATTGTCGCTTAATACGTCACCAAAGCCATGGTAATCATACCTTATAACGTTAAAGCTGAATAAAAATATTTTGGCAACATTAAGACTATAGAATCATGTTTCCTATCGAAACTTAATATTTAACCACGGCATTGGATTCATAACGAAAAACACTAAAGCTGCAGTACTTTTGTTATGGGTTCTCTTAGGCTTAAGGTTATATATATCGGGTAATATACATATCTGAAATATTCTAGTTATACTATAAAGATTTTAATAATTATATCAATATTGTGATAATACTGAATGTTACGTAAAATAAATCTGACTTTTTTAAATATTGTCACAAGCAGCCATTACTTATGATGAGTACATCAGGGTTACGAGTCAAAATCACATGTACGAGACTTTATAATGTTATTTTTTTTTTTAAATACTTACGAATATAAAATTAAGAAAACAAAATGAGACATGTATACATACATACTTGTATAAATATTGTAATATTTATTTAGTTTCACAAATAATCTCTGAGAAAATTTGTATGCAGTAAAATAAACTTTTCATGAGGATTTGTGTGTCAAACTTACGTTTTTTCCATTATTATCGGCGGTCTCACCATTTTCGTATGTATATTTTTAGGATCAGCCAAATCTGCTACGAATAGAACTACTGTTGGATTAGGTGTATCAGGCTGAAATGTTTCAAGAATATTAATACATGAATGCTTAGATCAGTTAGAATTAGCCTATTTTATTTGCTCGAGTTTTTAAGTATACATTACTTTTTTCTAAAAATTAACTTTGTTATCTATAGTTATATATTTACCATAGGGTTTTAATTCTTGTATTATCAGATAAATTTTTGATTATAAATGTCTTTTACGTTATAAAGTCGTATTGTGTATTACACAGTCTCCATTTCTTTCAGGGTCACAATAAGTATGATTACTTCGAGTATTTAAAAACTTTTTATTAATAAAGTAAATTTTTGTTTGCTTCATTAAAAAATGTTTGTAAATTTTTTAATATTTATTGCTAGTATTAAGCGGTTTCAAAAATCCTCTAGAAATCTACTCTCAATTGCTTATTTATTTCTGCCATTGGTCCTAGAAAATATTGTATACTTTAGAAAGAACCAGTTTCTTTTACAGCAATGTAAGTCATAATATTTATATCAGAAGACTGTTGACAGTAGAGTAAAAAAATGTTCTATTAAAGCTAGGTATCATTTTTCAAAAAATTATGTTTTAAAAAAAAAATTTCAAAATGTTAGAGAAATTTTTTTTTGCTTGTTGTGCTATTACAGTAGGCAACAAATAATTCTCTTCTTTTTCTTGTTGATGATAATTCCTTACTTGTAAAAGCTGGCTCTTAATTTTATAACGTTTAAGAAATAATCAAAAACGCTTTTGTGCAGAAAAAATGTTAGAAAGAAAAAATTGAAAGAAAAATCTTTAAAGAAAAAATGGCCTTCATTGCTTTTTAGTGCTTTTGACTCTCTGTGTTGTTAATAGTGTCACATAAATTGAGTCGGGGCGTTTTTTTTTGTGCCTTTTATTTATGCTGGCAGTATTGAGGCTACAGCATCAGTGGTATTGCAGAAGGCGTAATGTCTGTGTGTGCTGCTTGCGAGTGTGTATTTGATGCAAGTTGCTTGATAGCTTCCTGCCACTCATGCGATGGTTTGTATCACGTCCCTGAAAAATGTGCTGGTGTTTCTGCATCTGAGATAAGGGTGCTAGAACTGAAAAAAGGAAACCAATGTTGCTGTATCGATGCTCGGAATGTAAGGCGAGTGGAGGTGTGAATTCAACACTAGTGGAGTCAGTTAAGGCATTGCCGACATCGGTGGACCATATGAGTACCACTATTGCTTCTTTGGCTTGTTTGAGGAAAGATGTTAACGATATAAAAAAAGATGTGGAAAAAATAAAACCTGATTTTTCACAAGTTGACTCTATCAGCACTGATATTACTAAGCTACAGGTTGATATGCTTCTACTACAGCAGGATGTTTAACACATAAAAATTACGGGCCAAACTACAGGATCTACTGCCTCTCAGCCTGATGATGCTACTGTTAGAGATATGTTCTGGGAGTTACAAGATGCTTCACGTAGGGTCATGAATATTCTTATTTTTGGTATCTCATAAGAACTGGCCATGGATAAGTCCAAAGAAATTGAGAAGATTAAAGAAGTTTTTACGCCTTTTAAGCTTGAGACTAAGTTAATGCCTGTAAATGTAAGCAGATTGGGTAATAAAGATGCTGTTAGGATCAGACCAATTGTTGTTGCTCTTTCTAGTAGAAGTGATGTAAATGTTGTTCTTAGTGGCTGGCGTAAATTGCCTCCAGGAGTATCGGTAGCTATGGACTTGACACCTAAGCAGAGACAGCAGTATAAGCAGTTAAAACTCCAAGCTAAAATGTTTAATGATACAAGCTCTAATGTGAAAAAAGTGGTAAGACTTCTGCGTGGCGTCCCTACTCTACAAACTAAGTTATTAAGGAACCTGGGTAATGTTAACTCTGATGATACTTAAAAAAACTAAAAGGCTTATTTGTTCCCTTCAATATCTACTATAAAAATAGCAATGGTTTACATACAAAACTGGCTTTATTGCATTATAATATTGGTTTACTTTGCCCTAAACCGTTAGTTATCGTTTTTACTGAGACAAACCTATATGCAGACATAGTGGACTCTGAATTGGGCTTGGAGGGCTATATAGTGTACCGAAAGGATTGATATATTAATGGTTCAGCTGATGACGGTGGTGATGTTCTCATTGCCGTTCATAAGCAGTTGGGTAGCATTCTGATAAAATGCAGTGTTGAAGTTGATCATCTTTACTTGTATATAAAGGGTATTTTTGCCCGTTGATTCTCTCAAAAAATAAAAAAATAAAATTCTTTCTTTGCTCTCATTGCAAATATCATTTTTTAACGTAATATACGTACTTAGATTATTTTTTATAGTTCTTTCTTATAGCTTTAAAATAACTTGTATTTTCACATCTTATAACATAACAGCAGTTTAAGTATACATAAATTCAAGCCTTTGAAGTTAGATTGAAGCTTGAAGTCTGAGAGATTTAGCTTTGTCCGTTACTTTTTAAAGATGATTAATATATAAGTTAGTTATTTACTCTGAGTTCTTTAAAGAATTTTTCTTAAATGTTACTCAGTGTTGATGAAAGTGTATTAATTCCTCAATAGATTCGAGTGAATCAATAAACGGTTACTTTTATGCTCTTTTTTTCCATTTCACAATTTTGTGAAAACATTGTCTAATATAAAATAACTTAAAATTAATAATAACTAACAACAAAATGTTGAACCTCACGTAAAACATCCTTTATAATGTATATCCTGATCTTGAAACGTATGTCAAAATTGCAAAACATACTCTTCATTTAAATGGAATCTATATATCTTATCAATGGGAAATCTGAAATTTAGGTTATGTTTGGATTGGCATGCTAAATAAAATAGTTACTCAAACAAATCTTTTTTGTTGTTCCGCAAGTGAAAAAGTTGATAAGTCTTGTAGATATGATAAAGTACTACCTTGTATGTCTAAAATAAACTTTTTTATGGGGAAAACATAAAAGGGATTTTTTGGCATTAACCGTTTTATTATTAGGTCATACATTAAACGTGCCTTATTTTGGCAGTATATTGACGTTACGTTGATAAAATATTTAAACAAAAAAAAACTTGTAAATTAAAATAACACTAATAGTATGCTACAGTAAAATAATTTTCAACTGTGTTTTAAGATCGTTACATTACTCAGACTAAAGCTTATAAAACTTTATCATCCTCCTTTTTATCGATCTTAAAGTGTAGCTAGTCCCTTAAAAACTGTTAAATTTTGAATTATGTATTAACTCATCAATTTTAAAAGACAACGTGACAATGTATCTACCTTTCTGTCAAGTTAAAAAGGTTCCTTAAGTTTCCGAAACCATTCGAACAAACTTTCACTGAGAAATTTTCTACATATTTGATAGAATTACTAAAAATCTGGTAAATTTTTTAAGATTTACAATCAATCTGGCCTGACACTATTTAACCTGAAAAATAGAAAGTAAAAATAGGTCAATTTTTTTCTAGACCTTTTAATATCTTTTTTAATTACTTAAGTATGAAAAGATGGATCCAACTTCAGTTAAATTTTCATTTGGCCAAAAAAATCAGTATCAACAAGGTGCAAGTCTTTGAAATAGGCTAAATAGATTGTAAAACAAAAAAGAGGTTGGTATAAAGACACCTTTGAAAGAACTACAGCTTTTACAAGACATTGAAAACTATGACTGAGCTTAGACAGTACATCACAAGCAACATTTTTGTTGGGAATAATGTTCAAATCTCCCCCAACTTTAACCCTTTAGATATGAGTTTTGCGTTGTTTTAATCACATAACGTCACTTAATGATAAAATAATAACAGATTATAAAAAGTACTGGTTTTTTAGAAATAACTTTAAGGCAACAGGTACTAAAGTCTTTTTCAAGTGCAATCTAACAACAGGAGTAGTATCACTTGAAGCTGGTGAAGAACCTCAACCATTCAGCTGCTTGGTGTTTTATTCATCTCCTGAGATTTCTGTCAATTACTTTAAGTATTAGTATTAAAATGTCATAAGAAGTAGTGCTTTCTATTGCAAACACTTGTTGACTAACAATCCTTAACCGTATGCCTACCCAGATAATTACGGCAAAGCATACTCTTACAAACAACAGCCTTAGTCTTCTTTTGCAGTTGTTTGATAACTTGTGCACTTCCATAGAGGGTCACTATCGTTGAAACAAGGGCAATCGTGGGCCTGACTGCTTAAATTAGAAATTTAATAGCAATTTAAAACCTTTCTGTTTTGTCCTCGCTTACAAGTTGCTTCAGCAGGTACTGCTGAATATAATTTCAGTGTAATGATTTCATACTATAACTATAATACCAATAATTTCTTGAGGTTTAGTGCATAAGCACACGATCAGTAAGAGCTAATTTAGGAGTGAAAATAAAAACTCCAAAGTCAGGTGTTAGTTTAAGCAACGTTTCGTTGGTCTTAACGGCAACCTCATCAGGCTCACTTCATTAACAGAAAAAACACAACAAATTTCATAAATTACATTGCAGGGCCAATATTTACAAATATCTACATTAATGCAAAATTAATTATAAGTAAGTAGTCACGAATAAAATAGTAGTACAAATAATTTTAAAATTGAACAATCACTCACGTCAATATCGTTAAGACGATCGTTACAGACTGTTGGGCGCCTCGAACGAATAACGTAAGTGTCAGACATGTATGTATTTACGCATTTACATATAAACAGTAAATGTACGCTTCTTACGAATGTAGATAATAGCAGTACATAACTACATTGTATTATTTAGAAAGATTACTAATAAAATCTTTATATATGTTATTGAGAAGTAAGGTATCTTCTTTCTTATTAATAGTGTGTTTAGTAAAGTGTATGTATAGCGTTTCAGATATTATTTTTTTTTGTCGATTAGGTTTACGGTCTAGAATCTTTGTTTGAGAAAAATTAAAATTATGGTTGAATTTTTTCATGTGTGAAGCGACAACAAGTTCATCTTTCTTGGTACTTTTATGTTCATTCAGGCGTTTTTTCAATGCTTTCTTTGTTTCACCTACATATGATGCAGAGCAAGAAT